AATAGTAACTATTTTATTATAAATCATTTATTTCTAATACCTTAGAAATCAACTAATATTTAAAAAAAAATTATTTCGAAAGATAGATTCTTAGAGTTAATTTCTTATTAAATTTATATCAATATCGAGCTTAGAATTGGTAAAATAAAAATTATTATTGGATCATAACTTTTTATGCTCTGTCCTATACTTTCCTCATGACCGACTTTTAACGATATAGAACTCTTATGCTAAATAAAATAATTTAGAGGCCTGTCCCCCCATATAAACTAAACCCGTTTGAAGGGTGTCCGGAACTAGATGTATGTAAGGCACGGCCCAAGCCGGCACAGGACAGTTAAATTACGATCCTTGGCTAGTTAATTTTTTTTTTTAAATTTGACAGGCTAGTTAAAAATTTTCAAAATATACTCCACGATTCGTTTTTTTTCATTAAAATTATCTGTATCCAATTTTTTCCCTATATAAGTTAAGGTCTTTATATCCCTTCTCTATGGCTGCCTATTTCTACAACAACCTTATATATAAGTAATTATTTTTGATATCTGTATTGTGTATTTGTTATTTGATAATATCATAAATAAAAAGTTTGATTTTTTGGTGAATTATACTATATTACTTATATGATTTAGTATTTTAGTTAGAAAAGCTCTTAAAAATTGTGATTTATCTTCGACTATTAAATCAAAATATTAGTTTGAAATTTGAAAAAAAATATATATATCAATATTTTAATGTCCGCGATGGCCTATCAAAACTTTACGATAGCGCAGATTCAAGATATTCAGCTCTATATATATATATAAATTGTTAATACCCGGCCTAAATATGTTTTTTTGTCTAATTTTCTGTCCTGAAATTTTTTTATGCGCTACCCAGCTTAGATGGTAGGCCTAATCTATGGGGCAGGCTTTGCATATCTCTAAAATTTGCATAGCCTATTTCACAAAAAAAGAAGAAATAAACGACATTCAATTAAAACACTGGTAACAAACTGTGATTAACTAAATTGTTCTACAGAAAGAAATTTCCACCATATTTAAAATATATATACTGTATCCATAAGTCGTAAAATGTTTCACTAAGGTGTCTAGTTAGCTGTCTAATTTTCAAAATTGTCTTATATAATTTTTTTTTTTTAAATAAACTTTTCTTTTAATTTTTTTTTTGATTCAAAAATTAATTTCAAACAGAATAAATCATATTCTGAATAATAATGACCTGATTAAGAAAGTTAATAATTATCTAGTTGCTTTAATAATAAATAGACACAAATTAAAGTTAATTTAATTAGGAAAACAAAAGAGATTTTATATTTATGATGAGTGTTGGCCAGTGTATTTTTCTAAATAACATGTTTAAGTTCTATATAAAATATTTTAAAAATATTAAATTATAAATTTTTAAATAAAGTTATTATGTAATTGTTATTTTCTAGGTTTGAAAATAATTATAAAAATTCACATGTGGTAATCTAATATTTTAATTTACAAAACAATTAAAGATTATATAAATTTATAAATTAAAATTAAATATAAATATTCGGTTCCATGTCAGTTCCGCGAAAAATTTATCCCAAAATACTTTTTCGCGAATGTGTATTATAGCGAATGGAATCTATAGCGAAATCATTATCTCAAATCCACATTAGCGAATACTATTCAGCTAGACTTTTTATCGCAAATTAATAATCGCGATATATGGCACAAAGTCATTATCACGATTCACGGACAATATCGCGATAATTGCTAATAGTGACTTTATTAAAAACATTTATTTTTAAACAATACAAATTAACTAATATTATAAAAATTAGTCTGGAAAACCAATTTTATGATAGAATCTTTAATTTTCTTTAAATTGTAATAATGAAAATGATTATTGAGCTTTAATTTGTTTATTAAATTTATTATTGGAATATTATATGCTATCCTGTCTAACGCTTTCTTCATAACTTACAGACTCATTTCCTAGCTTTCAGAAGATATTGATACCTATGAATTTCCCCAGCAAAAATAGATATAAAAAGGTAATAAATGAACACAAACCATTTAGGTTGGCGTCCGAAACTAGAAACTAAAGGTACGCTAGGCCCGGCCCGGTTGAAATTTTTATCCAGCCTGGTTCTATTATTTTTTTTAAAAATTTGACCCTTAAATTTTTTTTAATTAGGCCCGTACCAGCTGGTTAAAATATAATTATAAGTCGCCACCCCCCGAATTGTACGCTTTTACAGCACAGTTTAAAAATTTCTATCCAGGCACTTATATCTCTCTTCTAGCTATCTATTTCTATGATAACTGTTTTATAAATCATTGCTTTTGATATCTGAATTATATATTTATTGGATTATAACAATTAAACAACATTTTTTATGAGTATTATTTATAGATTTAGTATTTTAATTAAACAACTCTTAAGATTTAAAATAAATGATATTTTAATTTATATTAAAACAATATTTATCAAAATCAAAATATTAGTTTAAAATTCAAAAAAATATCAAAGTTCAAATTCCCAGGGTGCCTTTTTAAAATTTTACACATTTGAATTTTATGTATAAATTGTCCTCCCCGGTCTAAATTTTTTTGCTCGCCCATTATAACTTTTTTTAAAATTAGCCTGCTCCATCCAATGAACAGGGCTTTTGAACGGACTCATCCGGGAATTGTAGTGATTAATATTTTAAAAATAACATAATTTAAAAAATATGGATATAATAAAATATACTTTGAAAAGAAGAAGACATAGAATTAAGAAAACATAATTGAATTCTTAAGGAGCAAAGTGTTGCAGTTGGCTGCAAGCTTGAATTGAAATTGTATATAGAAGTTGATTATATTATTATCGATGTTAACTAACACTCGCAATTAGAATTATTATTATATTGGAATGACTATATTTTATTCGATCAGGAATCCAAATTATATTTTAAAAAATTAATAATCATTTATCTCTTGATTCTCACTTTTAACGCGATATATATCATAATTGTTTTACCATTAATTTGAATATATGAAAATTTATAAAATAATATTATGTTAAATTTAAGATCATTTACTTAAAAAAATTACCCAAAAAAAATATTATCTTCGTCTACAATTTATTTATGAATAATAACTTCCAAAAATTAACATTCTAATTTGCATATACAACACAAAGTAGCTCATAGGGCCAGGGGGGGCAAGGGGAAATTTCCCCCCTTCAGAAATTTATCACTTTTTGTAAATATCATTTATAGCTAATAAAAAATATCCCCCTTAGTCCTCTCCCCACTCCCTGACCCTCATATATGTTTGCATATATCTTAAATAATAATTTAAAAGAAAGAATGTAAAGGTTGATATTTTTTTATAAAACTATTCATCATAATTTATAGATTTTTGAGAAAATAAATTTATAAATATATAAAATGAACCAAAAATGTTTTTTAATAAATGGAATATAGGCCAAGGATAAGTCTTAAGACAGAAGTGAAATGTATTATAATTATTAATAATAGATCTATAAAATTACTAAATAATATAATATATCAAATATAATTTTTTATAAAGTGAGTAATTTAAATTTATTTATCTCAATAAAAGTAAAATATAATTAGAAAACTATTAATAAAATTAAATCATAAATTAAAAAAATATTAAAGCACAATATAAACAGTGGAATATTATATGTCGTCGATTTACAATATATCTAATTATCAAATGACAATCAAGTATTTTTACCAATATAGCGAATTACATATTTTACAGAAAACTATAAAATATTGATAAGGACATCAGAAAATATCTTTTAAAAACATTGTGGGATGAATAATATGAAGATTAAATTTATATATACTTAAATAAAATAGATGGCGTTAAATAATTGTATGCATATTGTTGCTATATTTAATATTAAGAGCATTGATTAGTAAATTTTGTCAGATTATTAACTGTAATATATTCTCTAACTGTCAAATATGTCTGTAAAATTGGAATTTTACCTAGTATTTTATAACTAATTCTATATAATAGGGTAAAATCAACTATATGTCTACTTACTTATTATAAATAAATTTCTTATAATTGTTTGGAATAAATTATTACCATGCTTTTATATTAAGGTATATACAATACAAGTAATTTATTATATTTTTATTTTATATAAACTTATAAAAATATATTTCATATTTGTTCCAGGCTTATTTTTTTTATTAAAATTTGTAAAAATATTTTATGACTATATATAGGTTAAAGTAACCAAAATGGGGTCTGGGGCAAAGCCCCCATTACTTTTTTGATTTCCCCACCCCTTATGAAAATCCTGGCTACGCCTATGAAGTAGCTATATTTTGAATCTTGAAATTGTATTTTTTCTTAAAAAAATAAAATAAGAATTTTTCCTCCTATGTTTGGATTATATGAGCCTTCATAAAAGATGATTGAGTTGGGAGTAAAATGTGCTGGTGAGAGGTGTTATTAGGGTATTTTGTTTCTAATAAAGTATGTTCGTTACTTTTAATGTTTGATTGGAAAGTGGTTAAGAAATTTATCCATAGTACAAGACATTTAAAATATGAAATAACTTGTTATTTTATATTGATTGTCATCATAAACGCAAAAAAAGCTTGAGGAACGGGTAGGGTTTTTTAAACAAGAGTTTTAGGCATTTCAAGAATCAGTGTCTCGGCAAATATTAAATAAGGAAAAAAATTATTTAAATAAAATTAGGTACTCCAGGGGCGTTATCAATCTTTACAATCTCAGGGGGCTTTAATATTTTTGTTTAAAATATTTTCAAAATTACCTATTTTCAGCTAACATTATTCAACATTACCTACTTTTTTATGCTAATATTATAAAAATTACATTTGGATGAAAAAAGTTTTGAAGGGGGCTCTTCAAATTTTTCAGGGGACTTAAGGTCCTGCTCACCTATGCTTTTTTCGAAACACAATTAACCACTCTTTAATTTATCTTTCAGTCATAGTTTAGCAAAGTTCATTCTTTTCAGTACAGATGTTTTTGATTAGACGTCGAACTCAAACTGTTTTACCTAGACTCGCAAAATTTTCTAATGATATATCTGCTTTAGATAATGAAAAAAAATTAACAAAAACTGATTCTAATTTACCAAGGATTAAAATAGTAAAGAAATATACAGAAAGGCCTGACGATATATTAACTCACACCGGCGAAGTTTATAGAAAAAAATATTTTTCTTTACTTAAGTTATTTAGAAATGGGACAAAGATGATTACAGAATGGTTAGATTTGAGCTCGATGGCCCAAAACAAGTATAATTATCAATTTGTTATATGTTTTATAAATAATTATATAATTGTCATTAACTTTTTGTAAACATTATCATATTAAGTAAAAATTCTGATTTATGTTGTTTAAATTGTTTTATATAATTATTATGTTATATTTTACATATGAAATGTGTAAATACTTTACATCAAGGTTATATCAAAGTGGGCAATTGATTGTATCAACTCAGTGCCTCCAAAAGTAGTTAACAAGCGGGTTGTATGGTGTGATGGTGGCAAAGCTTTAGGACATCCCAAAGTTTTCATAAACTTGGTAACAAATTCATAAATTTTATTTTAATATTTGATTATATTAATATCCTTATATTAAAAACTGTCTTTACATGTTAATTTTTTATAGTTTTCTTTATTATTAAAAATAGTATTTTTTTGTTTGACAATAAAATTAATATTTTAGGATAAGGATGAAAATGGAATATGTGGCTATTGTGGTTTGAGATTTTATAATGCTAAACACAAAGAACATCATTAAATATGACAATCATACAAATATACTACATTTTCAATATATTATATTAGTTCTATATTTATAATTTTAAAAAATATATACTGGTCTTTAAATTAATTTTCTTAATATTTATTATTACTTTAATCTTAAATATTATAAATGAATTCCACTTTTCATTTTTGTTTTTCGATGTTAGTTTTTGAATTAAACTTTTTTTGAGATTTCAGACACAATTTAAATAAATCCTTAATAATGCTGTTAGATGTTGGATTGACTATTCTTAACTAATAATAAGTTCTTAGAATATTCTCTTCATAAGCAAGAACACTTCCCATATAATGGACTAAGCCTAAAATATATGAAAGGAGCTGGAAGTACTATATTGTAATTTAATTTTTTTTTAAATAAAGATATAATGTTAATTCTTTTGTTTAAATTTTTTATATAAACAATTATCTAAATAATCCACTAATTTTTCAGAATTGAAATTTTGAAGCTTCTCCAATTCTAGGCTATACAGATTTTTTTGATTATGATATGTTTAAGGTTGGGATTTATAACAAATTATTTTAAATTAGCCTTATTTTTTTTTTTAAAAATACCTAATTGACTCATATTTTCAAATCTTGACTTATATTATGTAAATAAAAATTATAATAATTATATATAGGTAAATATTTTTGATTATTCCGAAGTTAAGAATAAAATTATCAAACTTAAAACTATACTTTCTAAATATATGATCCAAATTATTTGTGGATATTACTGAAACCACATAAAATAACATACTTTATATATATCGTTGGCTGAGATTTATAGTGGTTTGTATCCATTTTTATAAAATAACTTTTTCCAAGGGCCTATTATGATCCAAATTATTTGTGGATATTACTGAAACCACATAAAATAACATACTTTATATATATCGTTGGCTGAGATTTATAGTGGTTTGTATCCATTTTTATAAAATAACTTTTTCCAAGGGCCTATTTTTTTTTAAAAAAATATTCCTTTAGATAGCAGATAACATCATGATAATGCAAATGAATTATTCTAAATTATTTTAACATTTTTATTGCTGACATCGAAGTATACATACCAAAAAAGTGGATAGTAGCAATAATTGACCTCATTTATAATTTCTAAATGCAACGATATCGTTAAGAGAAAAGAAGTCATGAATTAGTTTCAAAATACAATTTTCAAAAATATTAGTTAAATTTTTTTTATATGGAATAACTGATTATTCGTGATTGTCAAATACGCCATTATTCATATTCGAATATTTGTTTTGAGGTCTTTTACAAAAAATGAACATTACAAACCAATATAATATTTAAGAAAGTCGGAATATCCCTCGAATAATTATTGTAAAAATATTTGGATTAATTTTTTAAAAAAGCATTAGAAACATACGCAATAAAATAAGTCTTTATTCATTTTGATCCTTTATTTCCAGAAAATTCATTAAGAAATTATAGTCAAATACAATTTCCGTCATGTATCAAAATCAATACACAAATAAATTTATTTATAATTATAATACATCCTTTTTTACAATAATACATGTTTAAAAAACAATTTCTAATATAGATTAGATTTTTTTCGTTCTCTTCAAACAAATAAGGTTTACAAACTTGATTTTTTTTTATAATTTCCGATTAAAGATTAATCAGGACTTCATAAAGTTAAATTGCAATTCTTCATATATTCAATCAAAATCAGCTTGGTTTTTGGTTCCATCTTCGACATTACATCGTTCATCTAAGTTTTATTATTTTTTTCAAAAAATTATTATGTATTTAAAATGCTTATTTAAAAAAAAACTTTAATAAAAGCCTGAAAATTAACAAAATTTAAGCTGTGTATCAGCTTATCTTTGAATAGTTTATTCGTATTTGTTGGATATAGTATAATTTTTTAATCTATATATATTTTATTTCGTATATTAAACCTGTCCCATAGGTATTTGTTTTGCCATATTATTGAGCTGATTAGCTAAAAATGCTTTGGTTTCCCCCTTTTTAAGATTTGTTGCGCTACCACCAACAGTTAAATTTGGTGTGTTATCGCCTACCAGGGATTCAGGTAAAGAGAAAAGCCTAGAAAATGATGCCCTAATTTTGATAATTTTTTAAAAAAATACGCATAAATCATTTAACTTAGGTTCACACAGGGTAAGAGTACAAATTTAATTTATCTTACATGACAAGTAATTTTATAAAATTAAAAACGAAAAGAAAAATTTACCTATATTCCTCGTCGAGTGGGGGATCCAAGAGATTATCGCCTGAAGAATATTCCCCTCCTCCTATCCCTTGTTCGGTCAAGGGTTCGTCAAGTTTCGAAACCGAGCTAGTGATATCCTCTTGATCCTCCAGAAGTTTCACTAGCATTTCCAATAGGGTGCACCTTGCATTTTAACGTAATCGTATTATATTAAATAAGCTTTATACCATATTATATACAAATGCGAATGTTATATAAAATGAGGAGGCAAGAAAGGCTTTAATTTAGGAAATTTTACACTATTAGGTAATTTCTCACATTAAAGCCCAAAGTAGTGAATGTTCACACATCAGGTCATGAAATTATGAATGTGTATTATTCGTTAAGAAACCTAAAGCTATCCAAAAACAAAAAATAAGTGCAGTCAATTCCCAAATGGCTACTCTATAAAAAAATTTTTTTGACCCACTTCAATTATTTTACTACTGATTTAGTTGGAAAATAAAGAGAAAATGATAACAGGTTGCTTTACCATAATTCCGGATGCTGTTGCATCTTAAATTCGGGACAATCTGTCAATATCTTGATGAGAGCCAAGGAGCAAATTCGTTTTTCCTCGTATTTATTTAAACTATTCAAATTCGGCGCTATAATTTTTTCCAACGTCATCTTAAACATACTATAAAATGGGTGCGGTGAAAAAAATATCGTTTAAAAAATTTAAAAAAAGGCTTAATATTTTATTATAATAATCAACAAATATGGTGGTAAAACAATAGTAATTAAATGTTCCTGAGCTCTTAAAAAGATCTAGTTCCAGGAAAAAATTTCTTTAGAGAGGTTGTGGTTTCCAGTTATTAAAGTTTCGGATTTCCAGCTGTTATAAGTAAGTGTTGTTAAAAAGCCCGATTCGGGTAAGATTGTAACCAAAATAACATTATGTAAGCCTAGATATTTTGCTCATAGCTGGCAGAAATGCCTAAACATCTTATTTGTAAATTCTCACGGCTTAACATAATATTATTTAGTCAAAGTCTTACTCTCGCCATTTTGAAAAATTTAGCAACACTAGTTATAAGCAATTACATTTTTTTTAAAGATTTACTTTTTCTAAGAATGAAAGTGATCGGGTTACGAACTATTAAATGAGTGACTTTTGAATTTAGAACTTGGAAGAAGGACCATCGGAACGGGGGGGGGGATCTAGGAATTAGAAACCTCGCTAAAATTAGCGAAAGAAGCGAAACCCATTTTAAAGTTTCGAGGAATTGGTTTCTAACAAAAAAAATGTATATAAGAAGTAAATGGGACTTGGGTTGTATCTCCTCTACGACACCGAAAAGTTGTGATGGGCCAAATTCGTTCACGTAAAAACAGAAGAACAGGATAAGACCTAAAATAAATGAAGAGAAAGGATAAAAAGAATTTTTTTTAGAATAAGTATTTAAAAAAATATCTCTTCCTTGAGGCATCATTTGTGACAGGGGCACTTTATCTTATTATGTTGCCACAGGTTTTATCAATGAAATACCTTATCCGTCAAAAATAAAATCCAATTTAACCCTCTTCCCCCTCGCATATTAATAATTTAAGCGAATGCTTTTGGCAATCTTAACAACTTTACTAAAGCTTTAAAATAATAAATGGTAGTCATAAAATTAGCTAATAAAAACCTTTTAAATATTTGGGGGTCTTGGCCATTTGCAATCGTTGGAATAGCAAAAAAAATATTTGTTTGGTGTACGGGTTAATTTTCTCCCTAATATATAGCATATTTTAGTGTGGTAAAATTGATTGGTTGGGTCGAATTAGCTAGATTTTGGTTGGTTTTTGGTCGAAAAAATGAACCAAAACCAAAGCAACCAAATTGGTCGACAAAATCCATCGACCCGATTTATTTTATATAAGTGAAAACATGATATTATTTAATATTTTTATTTATTTAATATTGAAATGAAATTTATATTATTTTTTTTATTATATTATGAAAAATGGTTTGATGTTTTTTTAATAAAAATGTAATATAGTATCATTTTAACAATAAATTTGTGATTATCACGCCCAAAATTTTAAGCAATAGTTAATTTGATAAGAATTTTAAATTTTGTAAATAAATCTTTTTTGAGAAATTCTTTTGTGAATTTTAATATAAATATACAATCTTTTAGATGAATGGAAATATTTTATAGTTTTTTGAATTTTTTGTCGCAAATTGGAAATAATTAATATTGAAAATAAATTAAAATAAAACTTCAGTCAATATGTACCCTGGATAAGTGACAATTGTCATAATCGTTAATTTAAAGTTTTTTGAGAGTACCGACCAGATAATAGACCCGAGCACCAATTATTTTTTTATTGTTAAATTGTATTTTACATAGAGGACGAATATTTCAATATTAGCATAGAAATATTCATATTTAATATTAGATTTAGATTCCTTTTAAAAATATTGTTCCTTTCATCGACCCGAGCATGGACCGGATCACTTACTCCAAACAAAGCTATTATATTAGTTTATTGTAAATATTTTGCGCAATCATATTTTTATATATAGAGGACGAATATTTCAATATTAACATGAAAAATAATCATAATTATTTAATATTATATACCATTTTTAAAAAAATTGTTCTCTTCTTATAATCTATAAATTAAAAATTAGAGACCGAGTAATTCAATTCCTTATTAATTATTGATATCGAATTAGAAATAATTATCTTCTAAGACCGGGAAAAATTTATTATAGGAATTTATCGATTTTTAGATATTTATAATTCATATATCATCAAATGAGGGTATTATATCTTTTTTAATAATTTTTGGGATCTCTAAAATTATAAAAATTGGCTAAGACTTAAACCGATTAGATGAGTAGGCTCAGTAGTTTACAGTTAAACAACGATATCTTTTGAGTTTTGATATTCATTTTTATTTATAGATAGGGGTCATTAAATTACAAATAAACAAAATATAGACATTATAATCACTTAACAAACCACGATATTTTTTTTAACAAAACAATTATTTCTTTTTTTAGGGATGTACCGATATTTTAAAATGGCATTCCCCATCGATGCAGGCTGACATCTGATAAATTAAAAATTTATCATTTTTCTAAAAAGAAATCTTTTAAAATCAATTGTATAATATATTTGTTTATTTAGATTAATTATTATATAATAAGCGACGTCATTTTCCTTAAATATTAACCATAAAGATATGTAAAGAAAATAATTACTTTTAAATATTTTGATGCTTAGTTTATTTTTTAAAATAACCCCGGTCTCTCGTATTAGATTTTTATATTGAAACAATCTATGTTTTATATGATTAGATTAGCTTCAGCTTAGTTATTCCACACCTAGTCCCCATAAAAATAGATCTCATGCACACCATAAACTTGAATATAAAATTTATTAAAATATAACAACGACAATATTATGTAAATATTAAAAAATACATATTTATTAATATAATTATATTTATTTATATAATTCGTCTGATAAATTAAATATTTTGCCATCCCAAGACGATAGGGCAAGCATTGTCTTAGCGTTTTCGATGACATGTAACTTCTCTTTTTAGTAACCGTAGCTCCAGCTTGAGAGAAAACTCGCTCTCTGGGGACAGAGGTAGTTTCTTGAGCCAAAAAATCTCTCGCCATTTCAGAAAGACACGGAAATCGTGACTGATTTCCTCTCCACTTATCTAAAATATTAACATCTTCCGGACAAATGGCTCCCCTAGATATCCATCTATCTCGCTTTCAAAAGAACTCCCGCTAAGATTTTTCTTTCTAGATGTCATAAAATAATTATTAGATAATTATATACTTTTTTAATTCCTGCAAAAGAGATGTAAGATTGTTAGGATTTCTCTCATCATCGAGGTTGAATAAGTTTTAAATACATTTTTAAAATCTTCAAATTAATTGATTGGGAAATCAATACTTTTGGGGATCAAGGATTTTCTTATCCTTGGGTCTAAAAATGACCCGGCATAATTGGCGAAATTAGACATTTTCGCCAAATAGTCATCACATTTAGTCAGCATTTCAGATGCTGCCTTATTTATTATTTCATTATTATTTTTGGTAGCTGTTATTAAATTTTCGCGAATAAAATTTAAAAATAAGCCATCCCCATAGTTGGCGAGTGTGAACTTATTTCACAAGTAATTTTATAAAACGGGGACAAAAATTCTTCTAGATCTTTTAATAATTCACGTAAATCTTTATTTATGATAAACTTATTCCTGCGTTGATATAATTCTCCTAACTTCACAATTGCATCGATGTTCTGTATTAAATAAATAAAGTATACAATGATATAAAATTTAATACTTTGTAAAAATAATACCTTATTTACAGCAGCTATCATTAGATAAGTGCTGTTCCAGCGTGTGGATATACATCGAATGGAATTTTTGTACCATCACTAATCTTGGTGTACTCCTCCATTAATTTTGGAGAGGTATGCAGCTTGTTTATAAGCCTATGAATAACCTCTAATTTGTCAGATAAATAACATAAGCATTCTTGAACTATTAGATTTATAACATGCGCTAAGCAACGATGATTATATAGATTTCTTTTGTATAAAAGCTTTAAATATTCTCTTAAGATATTAATACCACTAATAATATTTTTAGCTTTGTCATGATGCTGAACAATTAATTAGAAGTAGTAATGTTAAAATTATTAAAATGTTTCTTTCTTTATCAGTTCCTATTAGTGCTTTGCTTTAACTAGTAGAGTAACCAGTTTAAAAAAACTATCAGCAACTTTAAATAAAGCCCGGTCCGTGTACCCGTGCCGGGTTTAAGACTGGGTCTGTAGGTCTGATCTAATTTATCGCGCGTTTTTAATTTCCTTGATAAATGTGATTTTACTAAATCTATTCCGAAGAGAATCTACTCTGAGAATTTCATATGATTTTGCTAAAAAAAAATTTTGTATTTAACAATGTAATTCCACTAATTTTTAATAATTTTTAAAGGGGTCGGCTGAAATGTGCCTTTTTTGACCGATTTGACGAAATCCATGAATTATATTTTTGCTAAATTTTAATTTTAGCTAATTTTAAAAAGACACTTAGGAACATCTCAACCTTCAGAAATATCTACTGTCAGTATCACAACCCCGAATGTGATGACGGGAATAAGAAAACCGTCAATTAGCGAAAATTTAAAATTAAATCATCTAATATTAAGATATCTTATATTATCAAATATACCTTTCAGAACAATAGAACATGAAAGTTTTAAGGAAATGATGTATTATTGCAATAATGGTTTTAAAATATGGACAAGGCCAACTATATAAAAAAAAATTAGAAACTAATCGCCCAAAGATATAATTATTAAAAAATTACATCATATCAAGAATATTGCTGTAACTACAGATTGCTGGTCCAATCTAAATTCAATAACCTACTGCTATAACAATTCATTACATCAAAAGTGATTGGAAAATGATCAATATGCTCCTTACAATTGTTTCGTTCCCACCTCCCCATATGGGACAGGATCAGATTTGTTATTAAATTGCTTTAATGAATTTGAAATTACTTCAAAGATTTTAACAATTACTCATGACAACGCTAAAAATATTATTAGTGGTGTTAATATCTTAAGAGAAGATTAAAAACTTTTATACAAAAGAAATCTATATAATCATCGTTGCTTAGCGCATGTTATAAATCTAATAGTTCAAGAATGCTTATGTTATTTATCTGAGAAATTAGAGGTTATTCATAGGCTTATAAACAAGCTGCATACCTCTCCAAAATTGATGGAGGAGTACACCAAGATTAGTGATGGTACAAAAATTCCATTGGATGTATCCACACGCTGGAACAGCACTTATCTAATGATAGCTGCTGTAAATAAGGTATTATTTTTACAAAGTATTAAATTTTATATCATTATATACCTTATTTATTTAATACAGAACATCGATGAAATTGTGAAGTTAGGTGAACTATCTCAAGGCAGGAATAAGTTCATCATAAATAAAGAATTACGTGAATTATTAAAAGACCTTGAAGAATTTTTGTCCCCGTTTTATAAAATTACTTGTGAAATAAGTTCACACTCGCCAACAATAGGGGTGACAATTTTATTTTTAAATTATATTCATGAAAATTTAATAAAAGCTTCAAATAATAAAAATGAAATAATAAATAAAGCAGCATCTAATATGCTGACTAAATGTAATGACTATTTGGCGATAATGTCTAATTTCGCTAATTATGCCGGGTCTTTTTTAGACCCAAGGATAAAAAAATTCTTGATCCCCAAAAATATTGATTTCTCAATCGATTATTTTGATTTTAAAAATGTATTTAAAACTTATTCAACCTCTGAGACAAATTATAAATTTGTCGATGATGAGAGAAATCTTAACAATCTTACATCTGTATCTATTTTTGCAGGAATTAAAAAAGTATAAAATTAAATGATATATCTAATCTAATAATTATTTTATGACATCTAGAAATAAAAATCTTAGCGGGAGCCCTTTTGATAGCGAGATAGAAGAATATCTTGGAGAGCCAGTTTGTCCTGGAGAGGAAATCAGTCAAGATTTCCGTGCCTTTCTGAAATAGCGAGAGATTTTTTAGCTCAACAAACTACCTCTGTCCCCAGCGAGCGAGTTTTCTCTCAAGCTGGAGATACGGTTACTAAAAAGAGAAATCGGATGTCATCGAAAACGCTTAGACAATGCCTTGCCCTATCGTCTTGGGATGGCAAAATATTTAATTTATCAGACGAATTATATAAATAAATATAATTATATTAATAAATATGTATTTTTTAATATTTACATAATATTGTCGTTGTTATATTTTAATAAATTTTATATTCAAGTTTATGGTGTGCATGAGATCTATTTTTATGGGGACTAGGTGTGGAATAACTAAGCTGAAGCTAATCTAATCATATAAAACATAGATTGTTTCAATATAAAAATCTAATACGAGAGACCGGGGTTATTTTAAAAAATAAACTAAGCATCAAAATATTTAAAAGTAATTATTTTCTTTACATATCTTTATGGTTAATATTTAAGGAAAATGACGTCGCTTATTACATAATAATTAATCTAAATAAACAAATATATTATACAATTGATTTTAAAAGATTTCTTTTTAGAAAAATGATAAATTTTTAATTTATCAGATGTCAGCCTGCATCGATGGGGAATGCCATTTTAAAATATCGGTACATCCCTAAAAAAAGAAATAATTGTTTTGTTAAAAAAAATATCGTGGTTTGTTAAGTGATTATAATGTCTATATTTTGTTTATTTGTAATTTAATGACCCCTATCTATAAATAAAAATGAATATCAAAACTCAAAAGATATCGTTGTTTAACTGTAAACTACTGAGCCTACTCATCTAATCGGTTTAAGTCTTAGCCAATTTTTATAATTTTAGAGATCCCAAAAAAAATTATTAAAAAAGATATAATACCCTCATTTGATGATATATGAATTATAAATATCTAAAAATCGATAAATTCCTATAATAAATTCTTCCCGGTCTTAGAAGATAATTATTTCTAATTCGATATCAATAATTAATAAGGAATTGAATTACTCGGTCTCTAATTTTTAATTTATAGATTATAAGAAGAGAACAATTTTTTTAAAAATGGTATATAATATTAAATAATTATGATTATTTTTCATGTTAATATTGAAATATTCGTCCTCTATATATAAAAATATGATTGCGCAAAATATTTACAATAAACTAATATAATAGCTTTGTTTGGAGTAAGTGATCCGGTCCATGCTCGGGTCGATGAAAGGAACAATATTTTTAAAAGGAATCTAAATCTAATATTAAATATGAATATTTCTATGCTAATATTGAAATATTCGTCCTCTATGTAAAATACAATTGTCACAATAAAATAAAATAATTGGTGCTCGGGTCTATTATCTGGTCGGTACTCTCAAAAAACTTTAAATGAATGATTATGACAATTGTCACTTATCTAGGGTGCATCTTCCCTGAAATTTTATTTAAGCATACTTAATAGATTATTTAGAAATTACAACTACTTTTAATATACTTAAAAAATAATTTCAGAAAAATGATAAAAAAAAACTATAAAATATTTCATTCATCTAAAAGATTGTTTATTTATATTAAAATTCACAAAAGAATTTCTCAAAAAAGATTTATTTACAAAATTTAAAATTCTTATCAAATTAACTATTGCTTAAAATTTTGGGCGTGAAAATCACAAATTTATTGTTAAAATGATATTATATTACATTTTTTTTATTAAAAGACATCAAACCATTTTTCATAATATAATAAAAAAAATAATACAAATTTCATTTCAATATTAAATAATATAATGTTTTTACTTATATAAAATAAATCGGGTCGATGGATTTGGTCGACCAATTTGGTTGCTTTGGTTTTGGTTCATTTTTTCGACCAAAAACAAGGGTTGTGGTCGTGTAAAACCAACTAATTTACCACATTAGTATATTTAATCAAATAAGTAATGAAAAGTTTATCAGGCAAACAAAGGGTTTTGTCTGATTTAAATCTAATTAATCATCGATTATGACTTTTATTTTCAATTTTCACGAAAATAACAAAAAGCCATTCTAATCGTAATCATGGTATAGTGAAGAAGATATACATGGCTATTAGATGGGAGGCGTGGGGGGGGGGCATTATTAATATTTAATTTAAATAAGTAATGGACTGATATCGGCTTAGGAATGAGTTTATGCAACTGATTAGATTAAGTTTCAATGTCTCATTTAATTTTCGAGGAGTTTGTTTTTAAAAATCAGCATAGCATCGATTTTTAATTTTTTTCCCAAAAATTTTAAAACCATTTCGCAAATCTGATTAAAATCTTTACCTTGAAATATATTGAAATACGTATTGAATGAGTTTTAGGCCATGGTGATCGTTGACTTTGGATGAGAGAAGCTTCTGAAACACGCCTAATATCGCCGACTAAAAATAAATAATTTTAATTATATATATATATAAAATTTAATTAAGAAATAAATTTGTCAATCGACAGTAAATAATTAAGTAATGAATTGTTGGCTTATACAATCCAGGGTAGCAAAATTTGCTTATTCAAAATGCCGAACGGAAATTAGGAACCAATTTACCTAAAATTAACATTAATTCACAAATTTAATAAAACCGAATAATTTTTGCCCAACCTTGCATAAGATCTATATTAATGGAAGAGTAATTCCTACATTTAACCATTGAGCCCATTATATCGGTTAATAACAGAAGGACTCTCTTGGAATCCTTATCAAACAACTTATCAACAGACTATTTTTAGTGAAAAGAAGGGCTGGCTTTATGGGGAATCAAAGTTCTAACTCAAATTAAGGACTCTTTGGTTATATGAAGTCAAAGATCTTGCTTATTCATAGGGCTTATAGGGTTATATTTCAATTAATGAGTTCTGTCATTGGATGAGACAAAAAAAGTTCGCTAGTTTGATTATGCATTGTTATTTTTTTTATAGGGAAGCATAATAATGAGAATGCTCATTTTAATACATGTAATAGCAAAAATTCATTAATATTTAATCATTGGCATCCCCAAAACTGAATAGGATATTATCAAGACCATGGTGACGGGGTTCATTGCAAATTACCTTTTAATCGATCCATACTTGCCTCAGGAGATAATCAAACTATATAATTTTAAGCTTCATCTACGGAACAGGAATCATTGCTGAATCCCAACCTAAACACATTAATAATCAAGTTATTAAGCATTTAGCTTTATCTAATGCACAGGAGTCATCAAATTAGAATCTCATATCCCTGAAAATACAATGTCTACATACCAGAGTGGTCGAAAGTATATAGATGAGTTTTAATTAACAAATATATTTTCAATTGCTTGCCATTATGCATTGCACACCTCGCACGCATGATTATAATTATAAAAAATATCTTAAATGTATCTACAATTTTAAGAATTACACATTTGAAACTTTTATCATTTTTACTACATACTATTGTATAAATATAATTTTGTTAATTACGATTTTGGAGGGGTCTTCCCCTATTCTAGAACGATATTTGAAGAGAAAAGCTTGCAGGAGCCTGACGAGTGCCGGAATATTGCCCTGCTTGTCCCATAAACTGGGCACTAATATGCTGGGAAGCAAATCGTGGACGTAATCGATAGAAGGAGTTTGATTGACAGCCGGATGGGAAGAATCGGGAGAATTCTCTATGAGGGCCGCTAGCTCTTGAAATACGTAAGGAACGAATTCTTTGCACATAAATATTTTTTTAAAATGTATCAAAAAATGATATAATGGCAAGAACCTTAGCGAAAAAGTGATTAAACATATAAAAGTCTGTTCGTTACTTCTCAACATCAACATGCACAAGAAATTATTCTAGATATAACAATATCTATCTGTTAAAATTAGGCACGTATTCAGTTATATTATGTATTCGTGCTAATTTTCTTAGGACATAATTTAAATTATATATTTTAAACATATTCATTTTTTTTTTGATTATAATTATAAAAGAGTTTAAAAAAAACCTTGGACTTCATTCTTGAGGATATCTTGGAACACGATAAAAAGACCTTGTTGATAATTGGGTATAGCGGTTGGCGATGCTTGAATGGCTATGCACAATGTTTCGAATAGGTAGTGATTAAAATAGGGTTTGCTAGGATTCTTATATATATATTTTTTTAAATCATAAAAATAAGCTCTTGATAAAATTATTTTAACAAAAATGTGCCAAAAAGATTATGTTTTGGACACTTGTATTTTAATATTACGTCTTCTTAAAATATCTTGCCACCTTTTCATAATCTGATCACGTGGCGCGAAAGCCTTTTCAGGTCCAGTAGGGTTTTTCAGCATCACTATATTTATTTTAGATAACTATGTTAATACCAAGTTTTTACATGTATGAGGAAAAATATAGGATACAGAAGAATTAGAGAATAATTAATTTTCATCCCTAGTGCTGAATACATTTTCTGAGAAATCTTTCGGTTCATTCCCTAGGTTATAAAAAAAACTGGCTGAGGTAAAAAATCCACGATTTGAGGGTCGTTAGTCACATAGAACCCTCACAGTGGATTTGTAAATTTAAACATATCAGAGACCAGCAGGCCAGTCCTAAGCCCTGGTATACGTATTTAAATTATAGAAAGTAAAGGTTTTGATTAAATAAAATTTGTACGAATTATGTCAAATGAATGACATCATAAATAAATCTCACCTTGAGTGCCAGATCGCTTCTCCATTTTCGAGGGCCAATAAAACTCACTTTACTTATTTCTCAGATGTCTCATGATTTTCGATATTATGGTGACAGGGGAAACAATTTAAACATAATAAAGATGGCGATTGGATTAAACATCCATGTGGGAGAAAGGGTTGGTAGTTGTTAGATACAGTTAATTTTCTAGCTTATTCTCAAGAGAAATTTCAATCGGGTAAAACGGCCCAATAATTCAGCCACCAATATATACATATATGTGTATAGTATAATATTATGAGTTTACCTTGCTAATTCGCGCGAGAATTTCGGTTAATTTAGCGACTATGGCGGAAACGAGAGGTCCGATGTGAGCCTTAAGTGTCGATACGCACCTCATCAAAGCTTTTTAAAAAAAAAATAATTATAATTTTAGAACGAAATTGTCTTTATATAGATTCCCCCCCCCCCTATCTTTTATACAGGTGTTGTTAAAAAGTCCGATTGGGTTGATTTTTCGAAACGACCCGATTAAGATTTTGGCAAAAATAATATTAAGTTAGGCATCGAAATTAGGCAAATAAGATGTCCAAGCCTTTCTGCCAGCTATATGCAAAATCTTCAGGCTTACATGTTAGTAAACTCTCAAGGAATCATAACTATCAGGGATTAGTGAAAGCTAATCAAAAATTTAACTGTAATAGTAATAATTAATCGAAGGGCGGAGCGGATCTAAATTTTGAGAGTGGGTATGTGGGACTTAGAATTGATTAAAATTTAGCAAAGGGCTAACCTTTTCCAGTAGCTTGTTATATTACTTAATATAATATTTCCCAACCCGCCTTTATTTTATTTTTATTTTTTAAAACAGAATGGTTGTGAGGGTGTTATAGTTTTTGGGTCAATTAATTCTTTACTAAACGATACGGGTAAAACAAATGAGAAAAGTAAATTAAAATGATGGCAGGGGCTAAGGAAGCATATTGAAATATTTAGCTAATTGGGGTGGGTTTATAGGATCCAAACTTGGAAATATTTTTCATAAGTTGAATAATTTGCCTACACACTGGATATCATTTTTGATAATTTTAATTTGAGTGTTTAATCTTATTAGGCTCCACCTTAGAAGACAAATAAAATTTAATAAAGTTGTATATTTATTTATACTACTAGGGTAAAATTTTAATTTAATTTGTGCTTAGAAATATCCCCTACAGACATTAGGGAGAATGAAATGTATAAGCCAGATCACAAATTAGCTTACTTATTTAACATCTCACCTATCATCGACAGTTTGAAATGCTCAAACAAGATTGTTAAAATTTAATTCTCCCTAAAATTTTCAATTTTATGATCCTTCAAAATTTTGTGCCAAATTCAGAAAATTGATTATAAAACTCTGTCATCCGTCGTGCTGAATTGGCCACACATTACAGCTAACTGGTAGACACTGTAAAATGCGACTGTTTTTGTATAGTTTTCCAATTATATATTTTTTTTATAGAAAACTAGTTAATGTTAGAGTAAGTAACTACTCTCTAAAAAAGAATTACTATGATTAATTTTTTTTTTACAAAAAAAAACCTTTCATCAAATATTCGTTTTCGGTTGAATTTTTGTAGGACATCGATGCGAAAATATTTTCTATAATTTGCGGGATCAAATCTTTAATGCTTTCGGGATTAAGTCTGATTAAATAAATCAAAAAATACAAATAAAAAAAATATCAATATATATTTTTTCAAATAATCAATATATATTTTTTCAAATAATAAATTAATTATAAATCTGATCCTATCCAAAAAAGGGGAAATTTTATTAATATCCTAAGGATTCTCGTTGATTTAGGAACGTATCATTTTAAAGTAATATATCTTCAAGGAGAAGGCTTCGTTAAAAAACATTTTGTTCTATCTACCTACTTACATAATTTATTTGTTTTTTTTAAAAATAAGGAATCGTTATAATTTCAAGCAAGGGATAAAAAAATTGATAAACTAATTATAATTTTTTCTTTCTTACAGTGTTCGTGAATTATTAAACGTGATTTTTTGATTGGACAACAATAATCGCTCTAGGAATATAGCCGAATAGGAATGGATGACTATGGATGGGTGGAGTAAAAAGTGTTGTACAATGTGTCTGGCACAGTTGGTCAGTATGACCTGATCGCAGGCTAGAGCGTTTCGATATAGAATCAAGAATTTTATGCAATCAGCCTTGACTATGATTAAGCCCTCGTCTTCTGTAAAAAGAAAAAAAAATATAATAGACATAATAAAATTTTATGAGTGACAGTTTTGAAGCAACCAGTTTAGATAAAAAGGTTAAAACTTGTGTTGATTCCCTCAGCGATTTCGGGCAGTATCTCGGTACCAAGAAATTTGATGACATCCTCTCGCGAAATCTTTTGATCGTCAAGCGCACCTTGATTTAGAAGGGGAGGCGGTGGCGATATGCAATTAAACAGATACAAAGCCAAGTCCTATTATTGCATTTATGTTTTTTTTTCGATTCAAATGTATTTTTGTTTTATTTATATAATAAACTAGTCTAGTGTGGATATTTTGTAATTCTCGTAAACTACCTTACAATATAACAAATTATATTACATGTGAATGTACGTGATGTAACATTTTTTTGTAAATTTGAGAAAGCATTAAAAAAAATGGTTTAATTTTTGGATCATATAGATAGCCCGGCCATCTTTGCTTAACTTTTTAAACACGACCTTTTCACAATCTAGGAATTAAATTGGTGTTTCTTTTACGCTATGAGAAAAGTTATATTTTTTTAATATCAGCTGATTACAAAAAAAATGAAATACGATCCATTCGAAACTCTTATTAAACCTAAAGGACTATAGACAGTCTCAGCTCAGCATTAAAAAAAATTACTTTGCATTTCCACTCCTTGCTCCTATCTACGTAGTACCTAGCCAGTAGGGTTTGCCCGTAGGCGACGAAGGTTCTAAACATATCGTCTTGATGGGCGGGCAGCGTAATTTGATTGATGGGTAAGGGGACAGGAGTAAATCTCGTTTTCAAAGATTTGATTAAATCCGACGCTGCTTTGCGTCGCGTTCCGACGTCTTATTTAAATCATAGAAGAAAATTATATGTTTAAAAATTTCGATCATCCAAAAAAAATGTTAATTCTATTTCATGACTTTCCTCTTATCTTTTTATAAAAATAATCTGCAAGAAATGTCAATAAAACGTGAACAATACTTAAATATATATATTTTTTTTTTGAAAAGAAAATAATAGTAAATATGTGCAAAACAAAAGACTATTCATTTCCGAACTAACCTCGAGGAAGTTCTTTTCAAGATGGATTAAAAAAAAATTTCGAAAATAACTTATGTTCTGTTAAATGGGAAAAAAGAAAACAAAATATCTCCCAAATTATCTTCTATTGCGAGCAGAGTTGTTAAAAGATACTTTTTAAATGGATCTAGATACAGATACAGATACATAGTCTCAAAAGTTATCTAGATACAGATGCAGCGTCTAAAAAGTTATCAAGATACAGATACAATTTTTAAATGTATCTGTATACAGATACATTTTTTTTATGCTCTTATAGGTTTGCATGAACCTAAATTAATATTATATTGTGAAAATTCATGAAATGAGCTAAAAATTTATTGACGCAATATAACATTTATCAGAATATAACCAAAATTATAATTTTAATATAATATATGAAAATATATGATTAAATAATTATTAGATTTCAGTAATAAAATATTTTCAAAATTTTGATCATTTAGGCATCCTCGTTTATCTGTGAAGACATTTTTAGCAACACTAAATAGTCTTTCCACAGGGGCGCTTGAAGGAATTGTAGTGTTATATTTAATAAATAACAATTTTATATCAGTTCTTTAAAAATGCTAAAATCTCTACATTTATTTTTGAAAAAGTTATTTAAAATTTGTTGATTATCAAAATTTAAATCATTATTAGAAATTATATCTGCTGTAGGCTACTGAAAAAAATCTGAAATTAAATTATTTGTTTTTTTGGGCAGGTTATTTGCTTGCAGTCAGTTGATGACTTTGATAATTCACCAGCTAATCTTTGTATCAATTGTTTTCTTTTATAATGGCTGCATGCCATCTATAATAAAAGCAATAATTAAATCATCTAAAGTGCCTTGAGTTAAAGTCAAAGGTCTTTTAGCAAAAATATTATTGGAGGATGAGCCTTGCCAATATTTTCTTTAGTATTTTATTTTCCTTCCCCTTTTTTATTTTTGTTAACAAGGTTGGATATTTTCTCCTAAAACTTTAATTAGAATTTTAAATATATAATATCTATACCCTTATGTGCTTCATGATATTGCACGTTGAAGTCATACTGACGGATATTTTTGTATTTTTAGGTAGACACGGCAAACCTTTTACCATCAGAGAATTAATTGTTTTCTTTGTTTTGAGATATTATTTTAAAATATGCTCAATTTGGCCATGGTAAAGCAATAGAACTTGTTGCTTCCTCTTCTTCATCGATATAGATCTAAATAAATATATAAACTTAAAAATTTAGTTATAAAATAAAATTTACCATTTCCATATTGTAATATTAAAATTTGTATAGTTTATTGATAAACTCGGACATAATATTTAAATTAATGAATATTTATATATAAGTTTTAATATTTTATGTATATATAATTCTTTATTATAGTATTAATAAATATTAATATATAATATATATATTTATTTATTTCATAAGCTCATATGAAATAAAATAAATTTTACAGTCAAATATTTTTATTTAAAATAAAAAAAGGGGTATATAAAATGTATCTTAAAAAGTATCTAAAAACAGATACAGATACCTCTAAAAAAATATCTAGATACAGATACCTTTCTAAAAAATCTATCTTGATACAGATACAGATACTACATTTTTATATCTAGATACAGTATCTAGATACTTTAACAACTCTGATTGCGTAGTAAGAGATATGGTGGTCAAAGTTTGGAAATATCTACTAACGAAAAGCGCATTCACATAATCGATGATCATCCAGCTCGACATTATTAATATATGAGATATTCATAAATCGTTGTGCTCATAGAAGGTAATGGAGCATGTTTACGATGATGACCTTTCTGAAATCAACCAACCGTCGAGGAGACGGAGATCTAATCCTATCCCAATTACCAATGAACCTTTTTAAACCTCCATTAACCGTCTAAAGACGTTGTGAATCACCTGCCGCGTTGAGGCAGAGGTACTATGAATTTTTATTTGATAAAAATGGTGAGGGGGGGGGGAAGGGTTTAAACGTTCCCCGTTTTTCAAAGTCACTATTAATAAATAAATAAAATTTCGCTTTAAATATTATAATATCTAATTTTAAAAATTAATTTTTATAAATGATAGACATTCATCATAATGGTAAATAATCACACTCGAATAATATTCATATTTTTTTTTACAATAATGTCCTCTAAAGCAGGCGGGTATGGCTAAGATTAGAACAATTTTTTTCACAGTTATATTAATTTTGGTACAATTAGTTTTTCCCATAATAAGTGTTTTCCCCGTCAACTTTCCTCTTATTGAGGATAATTTATTGTAATGAATATTGAAGTTATTTGATCCAATAATATTAGATGGTAAAAAAAAAATTTGAAAAGCGTCAAATTGTATGAGTCAGCCCAATATCAGCTATGCTTAAAATAAATATAGTGGGAGTTATGGCGAAAAATGTAATACATTTATAAAAAGTAACGAGCGGATTTGTAAGACATTTCCATCTTAGGAACAAATTAATATAATGAAAGAAGCACATTCGAACGACGTCGGTATTCCTGAGAAGGAAAACGTAACCAAAATTTAGAACCGGAACCTTCGGAATCGTGTTGTTAAATTTAGGAACCGGAAATAGAACTAACTTTTCAAAAAAAATATCCATAACCGCTCCCATTTTTAGCCCAGGTCCCAAAACTAAGCTCTAAATACTCGCAATTCGGTAAACACAACTTCTCGCCAACAATAGATGCTGTTCAGTACGTTGTGGGCTCAATTTATTCCTAGAGGAGGTTATAATTATTCAAAAATAAGATAGTGAAATATAATATATACGAATAGTTTATTTTATTAATTAGATTTAATAAAATATGGTCTTTCTTGGTTCCTAATTTTTAAATAGCAATTATATATATAAATAACCCTAGTGGGTGTGCCAAAATTTGACAGGTGAGATATAATAGCCTCATGAATATATTTATATAAAAGTGTATGAGTTATAGTATTTAAAGAAGAAAATAACCTGAGGATTCAAGATCGAATCTTATGTATTCGAACGGATTGTCCTCGAAATTCTCGGAATCGCTGGTGCGCAGCCAGAGATTGGGCACGATCAGGGAGGAGCAAATTGTTTGGCAAAAATTGTTCTTCCAAGCTTGATCGTTACCGGCGAGAGAAACGTTAGCGTTATTTTGGTCGAGGTCGAACCAGGTCTGAAGATTTTCGCATTTCCTTATAACCACCGACAAGTATTCAAAACCGGAAACTACCAACTTAAAAAAAAAATTTAATTGGATCAGGTGATTTTTTTAAAAAAAATATTATTATTTTCGTGGTTTACAAAACAAAAAATCGACTAGACAAAATTTTTTTTTCCGACCCGATTCGACCTGTAGGAAAGAAAGAAATTTTCCTGACCCAACCCAAATAAAAAATGAGAGTAAATCAATTGTTATAATAAGATTATTTGTTATTTATATTTGTGCAAATAATATATATAAGGATCCATTTAATGACAATTTATCACAAAGTTTGTATTAATACAAGTGTCTAACACCTTCTTTTTATCCTTCTATGAGGACTTTACTAGAGCGTATGAATGAGTTGTCGGATTTATGAACAAAAAAGGATAATTATTTAATATACCAAATCATATTTGGGTTGATTGGGCAACGGGGTCAATATGGTCCAAATAGCTTTGAAATATGGTGGAACGTATTTGTCAAATTCTTCGTCGTATTTTTGGGCGTAAAGAGTCGCTATTTCGCATATTTTCGATTTTAAAACGTCCAAAATGCCCGGCGTTTCTTCTGACTACATTTTGGTGTATTTTTTAAGGTATTTATTCATTATTAATTAAATAAATATGGAATACATAATAAGATATAAATATTTTTTAAAAAAAATATCGCAGATCAGATTAAGCGTTTTTTAAACTCCAAAACGGTTTGGACAAGGTTTGTTTTATTATATATTTTTTTAAACAATAATCTCCAGTAACTGGGACACCATTTTTTTTAAAGAAAAACCCTGAGGTCAAAGTGATAGTAAAAAAATATAACAATTACTCAACTATAATGGTTAGAGAGAAAAAAAAGGTTGAGGATAATGATAACTACAAAATTATTTTTCCATACATGTCAATACATCGAACTCAATAAGGCATTTATTAAGTCGAAGGAGAAAAATCCTAATAATGACTTTAGAAAAGACAACAAAAAAAAATGAATTCCTAAAACCCCTTCATAGGACAATCGGCACAAAGATCTAAATATTATTATTATTGACTATAATTGGCAAGGTGGTGCCAAATGACGCGTTAACTTTATCAAGTAAAACATAACGCATTACACAATACTTTGAACGTAACTACTATTATATAAAAAAACAACACTTCTTTTCTTTTTTTTAAAGTTTAATAAAATAAAAAATATTATATTAGAATATAATATAATACAAATATAAGATAGTATCAATCTAAAGATTGGAAAAATTAATCTAACCAAGATGATTCCCAAAAATAAAATTTCGAAATAAATACATTTGTTAAATTAAATGTAATGTTGTTAAACGGCTCAATTTTCAACGGGTAACCCAATATATTTTAGCCAAGAATTATTAACCAAGTCTGGAGATTTTGCTGGTATAGAAAGGATAGAAATGCTTATAAGATACAAGCCTCGATATTTCGTTAATAGTTTCGCTAAAATATTAACCGTTTTTAAAAAAATCGAGCCGTTACACTTATTAAACAGTATTGTTAAGGTCACTAATTGCTTTAATATTTAATTTATAGATCTCATTCAATAATCTTTATATGACGATTTCCCAAAATGGCCCAAACCAATAACTCACCCAACAAACTTTGATATTAATTAAATGCCAAATAAACCATGATCTGATTGTATATAAATTTTATAATTTAGTACATTTTAAGTTATTTCTTATTATAAACATTTTGATCGGGTTTGGTCAAAAAAATAGAAGCAATCTTATATTGGGTCGGGTAGGTCATGATCCAAATTTTTTTTGGGGGGGTTAGGTTGGCAAAATGCTTTCATTCCTGTTGATGTAATTGGCTCGAAATTTTTTGTCTCTTGCCGGTCCCACCCTTTTAGACGCCAATTTTGTTTCTTGTTGAAATCAAATAAAAATTTTACTAAATTGTTTTAAATATTCGTTATCAAGTGTAAATTAATAGTACTATATTATGGCAATTTTTTTTTAGAAACAAATAACTATATAGTTTGTGTTTTTTTTTTCAGTTACAATTATTTCTTTATTTAAATTGTATTTTTAATTTCCTTCGATTAAAGTTTGTAAATCACACTTCTTTCTTATAATAATAATAAAAAAATATATATTAAATATGATGAATTATATATAAATAATTTATAAAAGGAATTTGCAATGAAACTAGTTATATTCCCTTAATTATTTTTTCAAAAGTGACTTTTAAACAACGCTAAACAAATTGCTATATAATTACACCCTTTCATTTCGCAATTGTAGAAATAAGTATATGAAAAATATTTAGATAGGTTGATAATAGAGCTATTCATTTTAACAATATTTCCAGGTTCAACATGATCCAAGAAAAAAATTTTAAAATATTTTTTTCTGACCAACTAAGCTGATTCAAATATTTTTTTATTCCCAAAGACCCATTTTTTTAAAAATGTAAATATGTTCACATCCAATACTATTGAGTTGGAAAAATTATAAGATGGATAATAAACAATTGTTTGTTTATTATGCCTCAAAATAATATTCATAAAAACATTACGTAAACATAATAATTTAATATTTTGTGTTGAGGTCCAAGCCTAGTCCAAAATAAATTTTAAAATCAATGTCCAAACCCAACTGAATCCGATAAAATGTCTGTCCAAGTCCCAAACTAAGTTAAATCAAATAAGACTTGAATCTGCCTATATAGGGAGCTATAGTTTTCAAAAAACGTGAATGATTTTTAAAGTTATTTCTAAATTTAATTTTACAAAAAAAATACAAGTGTATTTCCATTAATGGGGATAAACTTAAATTTAAAATATTTTGAGCATATCCTTTTTATTTTAAAAACCAAAAAGTTTGTTTATAAAATCGTAAATAATGTAATAATGAATGCAGTTTTCAATAAAAAAATATTCCACAAAAAAAATTAAAATCTCCCTCACTTTTTAAATCAAAAAAGTATAAACAAAATACAATAAATAAAATGACAGGTTCATCTTATAAATGAATATAGTTTTGCATAACAGAAGTAAAAATTGGATTAGCTTCTAAAAAATAGATATGCTTCCAATTATCTAACCTCATTATTAATTAATAAATAATGCTAATAAATTTGGATGTAAAGTTAACCCTCAGACAGATCAAATTTAAAAAATTCTTATAAAGTTAACATATAATATATCTTTGTTACAGAATTAAATAAAATTAAAATCTTGTTAATTAAGAAATATACATTATTTGTCAGGGATTTATTTTCTAGGGTAAGAAGAGTCAGGAAGTTGTCCATCCAAACAGCTATGTTATCTTCAAAAAATTCAGGCAAATCCTTAACAATTTTAAAATGAAATATATATATTAATATAGTGGTATCACAAACAAATTTTTCATTGAATCAAAATAATTACTTGATAATTTAAACTGTAAAATATTTCACTTATCAGTGTTAAGGAATGAATGATAACATTCAAAGCATTTACATCAGTTGAGTATTGCTGAAGTAGAGCCATAGTAGCCTGGTAGCAATAAAATATACACAGAAATGTTATAATATTAGTCATGAAAACCAATAAAAAGTAATATATTATAATAACTAACATTAATTATTTGCAAACCTAATACGAATATAAAAGAAATATTACCTTAAATAATTCAGTAAGGGGAAAGGCGAAATTCTTTAAGACAAATTTAATTTCAGTCCATAAAACATCAGATTTGAATTCATGTCTATATCTTTAATTATAAGCAAAAAATATATTTCAAAAAATAATTCTTAAAATCATACCTTTGAAATATTGATTGTGCTGTTTGCAAAACACCATTGATCATTTTAAAATCCCCAGTTCTAAATTTGTCAACCATATTGTTTAATAAATTAGGCCATTTATCTGGAAAATCTTCTTTACCAATTATACTAATAGTATCACCCAACTGGAAAGATATAAATTATACTCATTTAAAATCAGAATAACTTGTTTTTGAATAGATTCAGGCATATTGGTCATCAAATTAACAATTTGATCTTTAATTAATAAGCGATCAGATTCTTGTAGTATAGATTCATTATATTCATCCTAGAAATGATTTTAAAATAGTCATTTAACATATATTTTATACTTTCCAATGTTTTTTTACTAAATTTTTGAAAGCTATTGCTGCACTTAAACGAATGACCATATCTGCATCCGCTTTAGCAACTAATGCCAATAATAATAGAGAATATCCAGCATTGCCCTCAAAAGATTGCAAAAAATTTTCTGCTGTAATAAAAAATTAAAAAAAAGAGAAATACTAAACAAACCAGATTTTCTTTTATTAAAATCTGGGTGTAATGTTTCTCTTAATTGCGAAGCCAATAGCTGAATATTTGCTTCATTAATTTCCATAAAATTTTTTATTTTGAATATAAGCTAATAGATAGATGGGTATTTTTACAGATAGGATTTAGGTATAAATCTTCAATAAATTGTTACATATAACCAATATAACGACTAACCTCAAAATAATCCAGATTATTATTATATTACTAATATTGAATAAAAAAAGAAGCTAATAAACAATTAAAATAAATAGAAATTTGATAATGTTAACTCATTTTTTATTTATTTCGCATTAGACTAAAATTTACTATAAAAATTAATTCTTTAATATTAGCATAACCTAAGATTTATTTGAATAATCGAATTTTTATGTTTGATATAGATGCACATATTTAGAAGATTGTGATACACCCCCCGGCCTTCGGCCGGGTTACTTTAATCTATATATAGTCATAAAATATTTTTACAAATTTTAATAAAAAAAATAAGCCTGGAACAAATATGAAATATATTTTTATTAGTTTATATAAAATAAAAATATAATAAATTACTTGTATTGTATATACCTTAATATAAAAGCATGGTAATAATTTATTCCAAACAATTATAAGAAATATTTGTAATAAGTAAGTAGACATATAGTTGATTTTACTCTATTATATAGAATTAGTTATAAAATACTAGGTAAAATTACACTTTTATAGACATATTTGAAAGTTAGGTAATATATTACAGTTAATAATCTGACAAAATTTACATCAATGCTCTTGATATTAAATATAGCAACAATATGCATACAATTATTTAACGCCATCTATTTTATTTAAGTATATATAAATTTAATCTTCATATTATTCATCCCACAATGTCTTTAAAAGATATTTTCTGATGTCCTATCAATATTTTATAGTTTTCTGTAATATATATAATTCGCTATATTGGTAAAAATACTTGATTCCACTGTTTATATTGTGCTTTAATATTTTTTTTAATTTATGATTTAATTTTATCAATAGTTTTATAATTATATTTTACGTTTATTAAGATAAATTAATTAAAATTACTCACTTTATAAAAAATTATATTTGATATATTATATTATTTAGTAATTTTATAGATCTATTATTAATAATTATAATACATTTCACTTCTGTCTTAAGACTTATCCTTGGCCTATATTCCATTTATTAAAAAACATTTTTGGTTCATTTTATATGTTTATAAATTTATTTTCCCAAAAATCTATAAATTATGATGAATAGTTTTATAAAAAATATCAACTTTTACATTCTTTTTTTAAAATAATTATTTAAAATATATGCATACATATTTGAGGGTCAGGGAGTGGGGGGAGAACTAAGGGGGATATTTTTTATTAGCTAAAGATGATATTTACAAAAAGTGATAAATTTCTGAAGGGGGGGGATTTCCCCTTGTTCCCCCTCCTGGCTACGCCTATGAAAGTGGGCCTCATTTAACCATAGTTGATTATTGTCTGACCAGGAGGAATGATCTTTAGAAGATCAAGAATTCCAAAGTTATACCAGGTGATGAAATTACTAGACAGCATGGACCCGTAGTGTAGGAGTATATAAGGATGTTACGCAAAAGAGATCGTTTAAGCCCTGAGATTCGATCGGTTAAAAGAGTGGCCAACCTTGAATGCACATCAGCAAGGTTATTGTTAGAGAAATTGACTAGAAAGAGATTGGGAAAAAATATACTGAGCAAGATTGCATCAGAATAGATATTCCTAGAAAAAAGAAAGGAATCAAGGCTATGGATATTTGATGGTAGAATGAGGAGTTCCAATGTATCAGCAAGAAGAAAAGGTTGTACAAAAATGGTATATTTATCAAAAAACGGCAGTAAAACTTTTCAAGAGTGTAAAAGGATATGTAAAAGGATAAAGGAAAGCAGTGGGCTATAATGGAATCTGAAGAGAGGAAATCAGTGGCGTAGCTACGGGAGTGGTTTTCGAGTTTGGACCCCTCCCAGAGCAAATATTTTTTTTTAGATTATACGTGCAAAAGATTAAAAGTGATTTTATATCAAATAAATACCATTAATATTTATATTTTTCTGGTTTTGATGTTTGTGGAAGGATATTATATTACTATTATTATTCTGGATAGTATTATTATAAAGTCATTGAGAATATCTCATTAAATTATAATAACATATTATTGATGCATTTAAAAAATATATTTATTATATATTATCAATGATATTATGATTTGTAAGATAATCTATATTATAATTTTCCGATGTCCTCACTATGTCATCGTGACGTCATGTGATCGCTACGTCATGTCATCGCTACGTCATGTCATCGCTACGTCATGTCATTGGTACGTACTTATTTTTATTTTTTTATTGATTTTATTTTATTTTTTTTATAGAAAATATTTTTATAGATTCTCTTATTTATCAAGTATAATATTTCTCAAAATTATATTGGGATTTTTTAATGTTAAATGTTAGTCTTATGTTATTATTTTTATAAAGTAATATATTTTACCTGTAGAATAATTGGTAAATTAGAGATTTCCTCTTCATTAATTATAAATTCAATATCTCTGGGCTTGGTTTCAAAATTATTAGGGAAGGTGGGTTAGAGAAATTCTTTTTAAATATTAAGATCTTGGATGCTTTTTTCTTGAACCTATATTGGGATTTTTTAATGTTAAATGTTAGTCTTGGATGCTTGGATATTTTTTCCATGTTAAATGTTAGTCTTATGTTATTATTTTTATAAAGTAATATATTTTACCCGTAGACTAATTGGTATATCAGATATTTCCTCTTCATTAATTATAAATTTAATATCTCTGGGCTTGATTTCAAAATTATTAGAGATTGAGGTGGGCTTGAGCAAATCTTTTTAAATATTAAGATCTTGGATGCTTGGATGTTTTTTCCAGGTATTGTAGACTTGAACCTATATTGAGATTTTTTATTATTAAATGTTAGTCTTATGTTAATATTTTTATAAAGATATATATTTTAACTCAAAGAATAGTTTTCAGTAACATACAAAATGTATACTGATTATGCTATGACAACATATGTATCCTTACTAAAGATATCATACATTTATTATTTTAACAACAGTCTTAAATATGGGAAATATCTACATTTAAAAAATACTAAAATTCTCTTTTCCTTTCTTTCCCTTTTATTTTCTTTTATTACCTTCCCCTTTCTCATCATTTCCCTTTCCTATCTTCACTTTTTAATTTTCTTTATCTTTACCTTTACCTTCCTTTCCCTTTTAATTTCCCTATTTTCTTTCCCTTTAATTTTCTCTTATTTCCCTACCTAGGCTACACACTTTAGGCGAAACACTTTGGCAGAAATATCATTTTGCGTTCTTCTTTTACCAGTAGCCCAGGGCCTCAGCTTTATCAGGACGCAATGGGTGTTGTACACTGCTTTGGTAATCCGTCATTATTCATTACTTTCACCTACAACCCTAAATGGGATGATATTATACATTAATTATTCCTTCTGCAGACGACTGAAAGGATTTGCTCTTAATTTTACCAGACACACAGAGTAATAATTATTCCTCATCATTTTTTAAAAAAATTACCTAAATTTATATGGCAAGAAAAACAAATTTCTTAAAAAATATATAAATAAATTGCATATAAGTTTCATTAGTATTGAATGGCATTTTTGTAATTTAAATAAATAGCATTTTTTTGTACTTAACAAAAGATATAGATAGCCCTTATCAAATTTTTTGATAAAAGGAGTTAACCCACTAATTGGTAAATCCGATATTTCCCCTTCATGTGTTGATAAATTATTTAGAAATTTAACTATCTCTTGGAAAATAGTTTTGAAACTTAATATGGGATGGACTGGGCTTGAAAAATATTCCTCAAGATTAATATTTGCTTGCACCTGACTTGGGAATATCTTATACAAATTATTATGGGCCGGGCTAGGAAAAAATTTTCAAAATTATTATGGGTTGAGCTAGGCTTGAGAATTTTTTTTATAAATTATAAGGTCTTAAACGCTTGGAAATTTTTTCCAAATATTATGAGTTTGGACCTGGCTTGAAATTTTTTAATGTTAAATGTTAGTCTTATGTAACCAGTATTGGTATTGGGTACAAGCTCATTTAAATATATTTTGACTCAAATAATAGTTTCCACTCTTAGTCTCAATGGGTTGGACTCAATGACATTGCTTGGACTTGACATAAATGGGAAGGGGGGGGGGGTTCAAAAATTATATAAATTGGATATGATTTTAAAATAAAAGTTAACATCTTTCTTAAAAAAACGAATAAAATTCTCATTCTCCATCATTTTTGACGGGCTATCTACTAGTTATAATAATAATAAGAAAGAAAGATAAAGCGCCATCTAGCGGGTACGATTATTTAACCTTTTCCAAACATTTTATGTAACATTGCGTTATTTAAAAACTGCCCAATATGGGTTTTTTAAAATTGAATTAATATGTATATTTTCGGGGTTATTCTGCAAATGTAAGTGGTTCTCATAATAAACTGAAATTGAATTAATATGTTTATTTTCGGGGTTATTTTGAAAATGTAAGTGGTTCTCATAATAAAATTGAATTAATTTTTCGGGGTTATTTTGCATAAATGGTTCTCATAGTAAACTACTTTAAATTCATTCGATTAAAAGTAATAAAGCAGATCTCAAAATAAACTGCTTAAAATTTTTGCGATTAAAATTGTATAGTTGTTTACTGTATGTAAAGGAAAAAGATATGTGGGTTGTTTATGTTAAAAAGAAATAGTAAAAAAATTTACATGTTAAATTTAATGATTAAAAAATAATTAAAGGTTATACAAAAAGGGGGGGGGGGAGGGAAAGGAAAGTATGTTATAGAGGGATATATATTTTTGGAATTGGGGTTAGTGTAAATGTTAAGATTTAAATAAATGAGTTCACGTATAAATCAAAGAAAATTAGAATAGAAAAATTGGAAATATTTCTTTTGGGATCAGGCATAAAATCAAAGAAAATTCAAATAGAAAAATTAGAAATATTTTTGGGATCCGAGGTTAAGTTTGATTTGAAAGAAAAAATATAGTAAAAAATAAAAACAAG